CGAGTACCGTCCTCTGACCACTCGGAACCCGACGACCGCAGGGCTGCTATAAACCAGCAGAGTACGCACTACGTTCTCCCGAAACGGCCGCAACTTTCGAGCTGTCGCGCCGAGATGATCGTCCAGATTATCTACCGCTCTCGCGCGTGAGCATTTCTCGCGAAATATTGGGAAACTTTTCGCCTTCGCGTAAATCCCCCGTTTCCACCCTCCCATTCATACTCCACCTGTCGCATCAACCGTGTACCCGGAATCGGGACCTTGCAATTACCAAAAGTCTCGAAACGCCATTTTCTTCTTCTCCGTCTTCCTCTGAAATTAGGCTTGGAGCCTGTTTTTTTTTCCGATTAATTCGTCTCTTGTGATCCCGATGTCCAGCGTCCATCCATCTTTTTGGGGGTCTTCTGGATGTTGGTTTCCCATCTCTTGCTGTTCTTGCTATTCTCTCTTCCATTCTGGATACGTGATCGTTCCAGTCACACGTCTTCTCTGTCTTACCCACCTGACGATATCTGAAACATCGCAGGTTTTCCTGACCATCTCGTTGGATACTCTGTCTCTGAGCGCCTTTCCCAGAAATGGTTCGGAGAATCCGCATCTCTGTCGTGCGGGCCATGTTCTTGGTTTTCTTGGTTTCCGCTCTTGTCTCTGCTGCTTAACGTCATGATTGGCCGAACACAGGTTTCGTCTATTCTGATCTTGGCTTCCTTCCTCATATATTTATCACGCCATATGGTTTCCCTTAGGCATCCCGATATTCTTGCCGCTTTATCGATCTTCATTTTAATTATCATAATTGTTTTGACGGCTCGGGAAACGTACGATTTAAATTCAACGATTTCCTTCCCTTTGATACTTTCGCGGCGCGAGGCTCCGTCATGCGGAGAACGTGTTCCAAGTATAAATCAACCCATCCATCCATCCACCTATTTGCCCTCAGCGCTACGCGAGCTCTGCTCACTCTCTCCTTCGGAATCTCGCGCAAACAGTTTGCCCCCCTTCACCGCACGCACCGCCGGTGCAACGCTCGGCCGAAATGTCGTTTGCCACGGGAACCGGTCTCTTACGTTCGCAACCGTTCGTTACCGTTAGTTCCGCCTGACGTAACGCGTTCGCAACGTAAACACATACGTGTGCACGCTGCCGTGGAGAAACGGAGGCCGGAGGAGAGCGCGTTTTCGAAGGTGTGGCTGCTTTGCTCTCCTGCCATTCGCCTTTGCGCCGTGAGTGCACGCGCCAGCCTAGACGTGCGCGACGGTTGTTGAGGGTTGCGCAAACAACGGAGGTCGCGCGGGACACCGGCCGTGGGACATTTCGCCCGGTTTCTCAGGCGACCGATCTCAGGTTGAATATCACGCGGGGAGAGGCAGTCATCATCGTTTTACGGTCGGTCCCTCCCCACCGAATAACTTTGGGTCTCGACGATCTCGTCGGTCTTCCGCCGCGAATTACCTTCCCGACTCCAGCCGCGGCTTTTATCTCTCTCGGAGAGAAGAAAATAGACCTCGCGCGTGCAATTAAAATAATTTGCGCCGCTTACAACGGGAAGTGTAACGACCAGCCAGAAGTTCGGAAGAGTTAATTTGTAAAACGGCCCATTCGGTTAAATTACGCGCCGGATCTTTGTTGTAAAACTCGCTCTCTCCCGCGAAAATTGCCGGGTCATCGAGCGCGTATCACTTGTACATTCACTGCCGAAGCGCCGTAATCTCGGCACGGCACGGGCTTTAGAGACACCCTACCGCGACCAAGTAGAAGGATTCATGACGTGTCTGCGAGTATGAATGCATAAACCCCTACCGTGCCGCTCGCCAATTTTCGTACATCGATGTATCGTGAAAGGAACGATCGTTGTAGATCGTAATGAATAGCGCTCGGGTGGAAATGTACTGGGTCAGGTGCAGGTACCATTGGAAGGATAGCTCGATGAATGTAGCGAGCGCAGTGCGGGGGAGAGGGAGGTGCAATCAGCGCGATGATAACCAGTATTACCGCGTCTACCCATCCCAGGCCGCCGATCTCCGCGGCGTAATTCCCGAGGGTTCTATTTGCGACGAGAACAAGCGGCCAGTATGACGGCAATCCGGGGGATGATGTATTCGGGTGTTATTTATTTCCAGCGATACCGAGCCGAGCGATTGGCCGAGTGACAAAATAGAAATCAGTTCAGGAAGCTCTCGGATATTCGCGCTTTCAGTCAAGCCTCGTCCCCTCTCTGGGTCCACTCGCCGGTATATCCTATTTTTCAACGTAAATCGCGTTCTCATCGTACTCCGTTCTCTTTTTCACAGCTATCAGCCTTCGAGAATCGCTCGTGCAGCCCGACACCCGACGAGTCATTTCCAAGTCGGATCTACGTTTATTGCTCGCTCCGTAATTACGCGCCGCGATTAGATCCTCGCGTTGTCCTTACACGCCGGCGAAGTGCCACATTTGGTTATTTGCCCTTCACTCGCTCGCGCGTGCGCGGAAGCTCAAACTCGCGAGTGAGTTTTCATCGAGAGGAAAACTAAGGAAGACGCGACTAACAGCTGGATGGAACTTTCTCACTGCGTGGCATACAAAGTAAACTTGCTAGCGTTGTCTCTCGCCCGCTAACCCGCTTTTCCCTCTCGCCGTCCTCGTCTCCCTCTTTCGGAATATTACCCTCTCCCGTGCCGCGTAATATTTCCGCCTATTCATATCCATACATTCGCCCCGCTGTGTGCGTGCGCGCGAACCCATTTTTCCCGTCCCTCGAAAGTAATACAACTCTCTACTCCAGCAGGCACCCTATTTATTTCCGTACAAATTTTAGGAGGCGAACGGAAACAATGATTTTTAATAATATCGCGAACGTGCCTCGCAGTACGGAGAGAAGGAAATCTTCTCGCGCGATCGTATCGAGCCTATTTCCGCCGCGACAATTTACCGCACTGAAAGATACCGGATACGATAATTGCTGTACACTCGTCGCAAAGTACACGCCTCTGGTGCGGCAATTATTTTTAATTTATTTTTCCTTGGTTGGAAATGAATACGTTTTACCGTACGGACGATCATTATCGCGCAATTCATGCCGAGGCACGTAACGACAATATTTAATCCCCTCGCAATGAACGGAGATTTTTACGGTCTTTGCTTAAATACTCGGAGGTAATCGCGATATCTCGCTATCAGCCCGCCGGAATCTCCACGCCGTCGCGCGGAGCGAAGGAGCCTCTTTTGGAGTTAAATAAACCTTGCACGTATCCCTCTTACCGAGACACGTGCTGCAGATCACACGAGCGAGCCTCTTACGTCACACGCAATTTATTCGCCGACGTCGTCCCTCGTGTTTCACGCGCGATTGCACGCCGCGTTATTGCAATTCCGCAATTTACGTTGCGAAAATGTACAACGACAGCTTCCTCGGCGCGCGTGTCTCGCGGACCATCGCGCGGAAAAATCGTTAATATCACTCGATGACAAGCGACCACTCCTCGGCGAGTGAGCTGAAGAAACTCCGCAGTTGTTTCCTAACAAGAGCCGGGGGTGCCGGGGGACCGGGGTTGTTTTTATCAATTGCGTGAGCGCCCCACGTATGAAAACTTCCATCCGCTCACGCCCTGTTTCCTGCTACGAAGATGACGGCTAGATGGACGAAAGGGCGCGCGACGAAGGGCGGAGGGGGAGGGGGAGGCAGGAGCCGGGGAGGAAGTTGTTGGACCATGTCGACTGCTTCCCAAGCCAGCCGAAGTGGACCTATCGACTCGAAACGAGTGTGCTCGACGTTAAAATCCCGGTCGCTGCTCCCGTTTCTAAGCCTCCCCTCCACCGACCGTCATCACTCTTTCTCTCTTCCTCCCATCCCGCCAACTTTCTGCCCTTTCCTTCACGTGTACGGACGCGCGCGCGCTCCTCCGCTCGCTCGTGTTAGACGTAAACGATGCAACGGGGGGAGGTGGACACGGTCCAGCAAATCCGAAATCCCCTTTTCCTCGATATAAAGCTCCGTCCCTTTTTTCGGGCTTCGATCCTCCACACAGCGAGACTTCGCGCCGCTGCTCTGTGTGAGCCCAAGTATCGGAGCCACCGATAAAACCGAGTCGTAACAAACGAAATCGACACTGCCAGGTCAGACCCTCGTACGCGAAGGCGCGCGTCAACAGTAGAATTCAATTCCGAACTAGACGCCAACTTCGTCTGACGTATCTCGATCACTCTAAATGTCCAAGTTGGATCTACATATTTAGCACCGATTTTCAAAATTGACATATCGATTCTACATATAGAAACTCGTGTTTTCCTTCTTTGTTGGAAATAGATTTTCTAAAAAGTCGAGATTTCATTTCCGTCCTAAAGGGGATGCTGGAGTGATTCTGCACTTTTGGCACTTTTTGCATCTAGAGCTGTCAATTCATGAAAACATTTGTGTAACACACAAATTATAAGGCTTATGCGTACAGACCGGAAGCGTCCCACTGTTCGGACGAATTGAGAAAACAGCGTGGTATCGTTGAAATTAAGTTCAAAAGCCTAACAAAAAATCTATTCACTCGAATAAGTTATAGGTTAGGTAACCTATAGACTTCTTGTTAAGCTCCTAAACTTAATTTCAATGATACCGTGCTGTTCTTTGACTTAATCTGAATAGTCGAACACTGTCGGTCTGTACGCAAAAGCCACATAATTTGTATGTTCCACAAATGTTTTCACGAATTGACAGTTCTAGGAGCGAAAGGTGCCAAAAGTGCAGAATCACTCCAGCATCCCCTTGAATCTGACGGCGGTGTACAGAGACCAAATATTACTACCGACAGTTCCGAAAATAAATTGAACTTGTACCGTGAACACATTTTCAGGCTTGAAGTGATACGAATCTAATATCGGGACGGTACCGTAATTACCCGCGGACAAATGTGATCGTCGCGAGATACCGTTAACGAATGCACTAAATGTTAAACAACGCTTACAGAGGAGATAGTCGGTAGGGACGGTATTTCCTCTCGCAGGGGAGTGACAATATTATTCTGTTTCAGGGTGTGACGGGCGACCGGCTGGCCGGGGGCGCCGCACACCTCCTCCACCTCTTCTTCTTCTTGCCACGACCACAACACACAATGTAACAACAACTACTACTACTAGTGTCGTCCGCGCGAACCACGTTCTCAATGTACTCGATGTGGTACGTCACTATACCCCTACTCGGTGTCTCTGAAGATGTGTCATTAAGTTTTAACACATACACATACACACGTGTCTCTCACTTTTGCGTTTATCGTGCCACACAATTAGTATTTCTCGTTGGTGTTTTGACGGAAGAGAAAAAGAGAGAGAAAGAGAGAGATGGGGGTGGGGGGAGAGAGAGCTCTGCGAGGCTCAAGAGCCGCCTTCGCCATTGGGCGAACGTGGACCCGAGAGTGCTCTGTCTAATTGGCAATCAGGTCGGATTCGATGGGGCATATTCCAGTACGCGCGGTACTCCGCAAATCTCGTAGTGCTAAATTATTTCGACGAAATTTAACGTCGCACCGTGACAGAGGCCATTCCTCGTGTGCACGTACGTATTCACGCGCCATTTTAACATTGTGTGTACGTTTTGTATTCTACATGTACGTTATATTCAATTGTCACATAAACACGCACACGCGCACACACACACACACATACACACATATATGTATTGGTGGATTATGTCTTCACTGTTCGCTGAATTCCGTTACAATGTGACTTGTGGTTGGTTAAGTTTCGTTGGTTTATCGATGTTCAATGTTGACTGCTATTGTTGGTTGTTAGGTGTTTAGTGGTCATTCTGTGTTGGTGCTCACCCCCCTACCGACTATTCCTTGTACTCGCTGTCCCGGCGACGAGCACCCTACCCATTTCCACGCAACACGAATTCCTAAACTTGATGTTAGAAGTTACGATATCAAACTTGCCTGCCGCCCCATCTTCTCCGTAGAGAAGCGGCGGCCGTGAATTTATCGATAGATAGACGAATGGTAAGATTTCTACATATCTCGTATTTCTTTCAATAAGCATGCTGTTATTATTTACTGGGGACTGTCATAAATCTGCATGATGCGACACGATTTGAATTTTCAATATCGTGAGAGCACACGAGAGAATTTCGAATAAAATGCCTTTTCAAATTGGCGGACGAGCGAAAAATCAAACTTTATATATTTCATCGTGGAACTTAAAATTGATTTCAAAGACATGTACATAAAAATATATATATGTAAATCGAAGATTTATATGCATATAAATTTTGTGAATCTTGTTCGGTGATGTATGCGTGTATATCGCGCGGACAAGATTTTTATGCCGTGCGCGCGGGAGAAATTTTTCTGAAAAACCATTTTCCGCCCGGCAACGTGCAGCTTAGGAATGACCGACATTTGATTAGAGAATAGTACGTACTATCGTATTTTTCTTCTGGCATGCACGTTTCGCATTTTCTTTATCTCTGTCGAACGTGTCTCTGAATATTGAAGACCTCGAGCACCGTTGCGAAGTTTTATTTCACTCTTTACGCCTCGATACATATTTCAATAACAAGCTACTTTTTCCGTCTATCCATTCGTTAAATGGCAATTTTAATGCGATAGGAGCACATCTCGCGGAATAAACAAATCGGCACGCTGATATGTAAACGCTGTTGCACGTAAACGAGTCGATAATTATATGCGTGTAAATATTGCTCTCTAAATATGTTTTACATCTGTAATGATAATTAAGCTGAGAGCTCCGCTACACGTTTGGTCCATTCTTTTAATGAGCCTGGAAAACGGTAGCAAACACTGGTCCGATGGCGGGTTAATCTGCGGTTGAAACGCTTGAATTCTTAACGAGGACGAACCGAGGAGGGACAAGAAAGAGAGACATACTTTTTAAAACAATTACACGAGTAGACAGCATGAAATTGGATGCTCTAACGTGAACGCTAGATACTCGCGCTTTTTTCGCGTTCTTATACGCGATATGATGTGTGCGAGCTTGATAACACAGAAAATAACGTACGCTTTAGTAATTACAATTTAAGCGAGAATAATAAAACATAACGTCACGTTTTTGGCTCGGCCAGCCGAACAAAGCAAGCGGGAATGCGCGCGGCAGGACAAAATTATTTATTATACTTTCTTCCCCATTTTCTTCGAGTTATGCGATCGATCGTAGCAAATTACGTTCCAAACTTGCCATTTCCCTCGGAACTGGTCGCCGGCACTTTATTCCATTTGATAGCGATGGCGAGCCGTGGCGAGCAAATGGCTCCTAACAACGACGTATGTGAGAAAGGGGGACGCAGAGCTAGTCCGGAAGCATTTATTTGCCAGCGGGAGTTCCTCGTAGTTTTACAATGTGGTCGCGCGACGTTCCGCAAAGGCAGCTCGATTTCAGGCGCGCCCCGATAATATTAAAAAGTAATTGGATTGCGATCCGGATGATGGTTGTTGCCGATTCGGCCGCAGCGACGGCCACGTCGCCGAAGGAAGGGTGATGGGATCGGCATCGAGAGGGGAGGAGGATGTAAGGGCGGGGGCTCTCGCAGACCGGAATAATGGACAGTCGTTAAATTTAATTGGCACATAATTATCGGAAGTCCAGGCACCAAGCAGATCGCCGCGCGCTACCAATCGTCGCACGGCTCCAAACGCTCGGGCTTTAATATCGAGGAAATTCACATGCACGGGAGGAGAGGGAGAGAACATCCCATTTCGTCCGCGCGTATTTGGTAGAACATGCCCGGGCGCTTGTGGTTTGTGCCGGCCTAACGAGTCCGGAATCGACCTGCCCTTCATCCGAAATCGCTTTCCAACGCCGCGCTTCCTTTCTTTCTACCTGGACCGCGCGCGCGCGCGGGCGCTGAACCGCCCTCGTCGTTTTTATTTCTCCCCGAGCGAGTACGATCTCCCTCGACTTGAACATTCCCGTGACTAGATTGAATCTTCGCGGAATGTAATTTGTCTTGGATGCCCTTCGAGCTACCAAGCTGCGAGCTCGCCACCGGCGAGGGAAGCTTGAATAAAACAATAAAGCGTTCGCCCGCGTCTGCGTCGTGAAACGGCGGGGAATGAGCGAAGACGGGCAAAACGTGATGGAGAACGGGAAAGCGAGTCGAAATGGATAAAGGTTGGCGATTCACTTACGCGAACAATCGTCTTCCGCGTGGATCCGCGAAGATCGCGCGCGCCTACGAGATTCCCGCGGAGCGGCTCGTAATTAAGAGCCATAAATACGAGACCGCTCGGACAAATTAATTTAGGTATCAATTAGCGTTCGGATATCGCTATCGGTCGACGAGAGGCACGACCGTATACAACTCACGGCTGCCATGCCGTGGTTCGAAGCCACAACTAGGCGCAGCGTGGCGCGTCGGATTACACGTTACCCCGATATCATCGTATACCAATAAATAAGCCCCGCCGATATCATCTTTCATTTCGATAATTATTATTCGACGCGGTGTTAATTAATTAAGGCCTGAGGTCGCCGACTACCAAGGGAGCGAGCGCCTCTCCCTCCTCCGCGGCGTCGCTTCATTTCGCATAACTCGGAGAGCGGTAAGCAGAAACGCGCGGGCCGCTCCGCGCGCGTGTACAGCCACGATCGCGCCAGGTGATAAGTCCTCGAGCTCTCTGGCTAATTACCGGATGAAAGAGCTATCTGGCGACTGTCGTCAAAGCGAGAGCCGGTAAATGCACCTGCCGCGCCATTGTGATATTTTAGCGCGCTAGCGGCTAACGGTTTTGCGCACAGCCCGGACGCCGCGCCGCTGGTCCCGGCACATATCTAATTTTCATTCGGCGTTTCCAGCCCCGCGTACATGAATACCGCAGCCGCGGCCGCGGCCCCACCGCGCCGACGGGATATGGCAACGAATGTTCAACGCGGCTGTGCAAACGAAACGTTATTCTCCGCCGCCTCTGTCCAAGTATAATTATTGTTTCCTTTGCGTTAAAAAGTGACGGAGCGTTTTGTTCGATCTCGTTAAAAAGTTAAACCGGCGCGGAGTAGTTCTCTATTTCGTAAAAAAATAGACCAAACTATCCGAAAATTCAAATCCATTGTTGCGCCAATATTGCACCTGCGAAAAGCACAATTAGAAATTTTTCCGGTGGATCGAAACACGGTCTTCGTAAGAATGACGGCATATGCCGTGCGCCGTCGATGAGACGGAAGATTCCGGGAGTCCATAGTAATAAAGAGGGATGTATCCTCGGTGAGGTAGGGACTAAGACGCGCCACTTATTAATTTTTCGGCGAGAAAAATAACGGGCTACACTGACAGAAACAAATGGTTGCAGTTACCACAATCTCGCTATAAGTTATAGTCATTTTAGGAGCCAACCACATTTTTATAATTCTTCCAACTACGCAAGTTATGGTTGACACCTACCAATGTATTATAGTTCTCATAGACACAATATTGGTCCATGCAACTTATGATATGGTTGTATCATAAATCATAATGAGCTTTTAATTTGGTAATGTGTACTATAAATACTGCAATAACAACCACAAGTAAAATTTCGCATAACTATATGTAATAGTAATAATCGTATTTATATTGGAAATAATATTACCTGCTTTTTATTATACATATACAGGGTGTCTGATGCAAAAGTAGCCACCTTGAAAATAGTGGTAGATTGGG